CCGCCGCCGTCGCCGTCCTCTCCCGCCCGAGTTTGCCCCTGCTCCTGCGCCCCCTCCTCGCCCTCGCAACTTTCGACGCCGCCGTCGCCGTCGCCGTCGCCGCTGCCCCCCTCTCCCGCCCAAGTGGGCCCCTGCTCTCGCTGTCACTCCCCGGTCGTTTTCGTCAGCGCCCACCTCGTTCCACCCGAAATCGGCCCGCTCGACATAAGCATGGAAATATTGGGCACGAAGGTCGACAGCATTTCTGGTTCCTTTTGGGCAGGACTCGCTGTCGGTGTCGCCGCGGGCGTGATCCATTCGATACAGAAGGCCGCCTGCCCAACAGCGGCCGCTGTTGGCTCTGGACAGCATCTGTTGTTGGGCATCATGCTCGTTTTTTCCGTCCCCATTCCGGGTGTCCCAAGACTCTGAGTGAGTGCCGCTGCAGTGCAGGATGCGATTTGCAAGCGCAAGCCCTCCCCGAGGGGGCTACCTTCAGTTCCGAAACCTTAGGCGCGGGATGCCTTGGGCGCGAGGAGCTTTGAGGGCCGCAAGAGTTCCGCCCGAGGCTCGATAACCCACCCAGAGGAGGAGGAGGAGGAGGAGGAGGAGGAGGAGGAGGAGGAGGAGGAGGAGGAGGAGGAGGAGGAGGAGGAGGAGGAGGAGGAGGAGGAGGAGGAGGAGGAGGAGGAGGCGGAGGAGGAGGAGGAGGAGCGAGGAGAGGAGGAGGAGGAGGAGGAGGAGGGAGGAGGAGGAGGAGGAGGAGGAGGAGGTCATCGAAGGACCCCGTTCCGCCCGCGGCTCCCTGCAGGCCCGCGCGCCCTGCGCCTGCCGAGCCTCTCGGGCCGGAAGAAGGGCCGACCCCCCCAAGCGGCAAGACGCGGGCCCCCCGCCGCCCCTCCGGCCCAGGGGGCGCCTGCAGGGGCCAGTACGTGGACGTGTGGGCGGTGGACTGACCGCGCCCGGCCACCCCTCCTCCTCCTCCTCCGCCTCCTCCTCCGCCTCCTCTTCCTCTTCCTCCTCCTCTTCATCCTCCTCCCTCCTCCTCCTCCTCCTCCTCCTCCTCCGCCTCCTCCTCCTCCTCCTCATGCCTCCTCCTCATGCCTTCTCCTCCCTCCCCCGTGTCTGGCTCGTTGCCTGATACCCGACCCCAAACCATCCCTCCGTGTTGGCTTTGGAGGTCGCCGCGGCGATCGCCACGGCAATCTCGGCGATCAAGGCCTTTGTCAAGGAGTGGCGTGCCCCTTGCCAGCCCGCCCCCCGCCCTGCGATGCAGACCTGGATCATGATCATAAACGTGGCGACGGAGTTGTTCATCTATGCCCAACATGGGCAGTCATGAGTTTTGTTGGTTAGGGGTCGACTATCACGCAACCACTGGCGGTCGCCCCCGCGCCCGCCGCCGCCCGCCGATCGGCCAGCCGCCCCCTGCTGCGCCGCGGGGGGGGGGCGGGCTCCGACCACGGCGGTGCGCGGCGCGCGGGCGGAAAGGGGCCGCCGCGAGCGCTGTCGTCGCCGCCGCCACCGCCGCCGCCGCCGCCGTCGCCGCCGCCGTCGTCGTCGTCGTCGGCGGCGTCGTCGTCGTCGTCGTCGTCGTCGGCGTCGTCGTCGTCGGCGTCGTCGGCGTCGCCGCCGCCGCCAGCCGTCGTCGTCGTCGTCGTTGTCGTCGTTGCTCGTGGCCGTCTCCGCCGCCTTTATCGTCCTCGTCGTCCTTCGCCGCGGAGGAGAGAGAAGAAGATGGGGAAGGAAGGCAGATAGAGGAAGAGGGGGGAGGGAAGGGAGGAGGCGGAGCGAGGCGGGAGGAGAGCTTGGGAGAGGAGAAGAGAGCGGAGGAGGAGTTTGTGGCTCGCTCGACTAGCCACCAGGAGCTGTTGACGGTCAGGCTAGTGGAAAGCCTTGCTTCTAGAGGAGGGGGGGAGGAGGAAGAGGGGACTCCCTCATCGTGCTGCTTGTTCCCCTCATCCAGATCCTCCGACGGCCGCCGCCTCGCTCCGCCCTCAAACCCATCGCAAAAGGAGGATTAGTTGATGATGATGATGCTGCTGATGCTAGTTATGATGATGCTGACGATGCTGATTATGATGATGATGATGATGATGCGGCTGCTAATGATGATGCTGATGATGATGCTGCTGCGGCTGTTAATGATGATGATGATGCTGCTGCTGATGATGATGATGCTGATGCCAATGATGATGCTGATGATGCTGATGCTGATGATGATGGAGGAGGAGGACGAGGAGGACGGACGCTACGATCCTATGATCATAGTGTGCGCTACGCTACGCCATTGCGCCATACGCCGAAGCGCGTGGACGAAACCAGAACATACTATAGATATATAATTACAATGCCAAGGCACCGGGCATCACATGCAATGCAGATAACTAATGGTCACAAGTGGTCTTTTTCAACTTCCTTGCTTGCAATGTGTTCCGCAATCGTTCGCCACTCGACGGGGTCATGCAGGCGCTGCGACAAAGTGTGTTCCAGTCCAACATTATCAACCAACACCTTGTGTAAGCGTTTCGACTATTCATGTTTGTGTCTGCCTCTTTCCTCCTTTGATGAGCATCCACGGCTGCACGAACGGTGCCGGGCTGAAAAGCGAATCGTCGAAAAATCCTGTATTTGGAGCCCGTCCATTTCTCCCAAATAGTATTACCTGCTGTTGAAGAAGTTGCGCGCTGTACTGCATTTACCCAGCTTGCTCCAACACATTGCTGTTCTGGTACTCGCGACAGAAAGGCGGAAGGCGTATGTAATATTCTTCTTAGGCATCTGACTTGAAGTCCATCCAACCTTCTCATCTCAGCTTTGTTTAAACCACGCCGTGTTTACATAATATACGATTGGACTGTCACCACCGCTTGAAATAGATCCAGTTTCCGACGCTTAATTACTCAAAGCAGTGTGTTTCCATGCTCTGTCGTATTTGGAGAATTCGGCCCATGCTGCCCCGATTCTTTTGTGTAGTTCGGTACCCAACTGCCCACTTTTATATAACGTAACACCCACAGATGTCATACGCTGCTTCTCAGCAATGCTTTGCCCGGTCGGTGTCCTCAACGTCACGTCGATGTTTATCTGGATCATTCGGAACTTGTTCCAGTGACCCATGTAGAAATAGCAGAATGAGTAGGATTGGTTTCCCCCCATCACCCTGTCTGTTTTTGCTGTTCGTGGGACCTCTCCGCCTCGCTCTTCCTTCCGTCTCTCTCCTTACTCCGACCGCTTCCTACCCAGACCCCCTCAGACTCATGCACACTCGTACTCACTCATACTCAGACCCACTCATTCGCTCACACTCCGGCTGGCTCACACATAGACTCCTCACACTCAGATACATTCATACTCTGTTTTGTCTTAAGTCGGGCATGCCTCTTTATATGAGGATCATTCAATGATAGTTTAAACAGATAGTATGGGGACGACCTTTCGACTATTTTTCTGCTATATGTGTTTTTGTTTGGATGTATCGGGTTTTCCAACATCCACCTGTAGGAGGACATGCCCGACCTGAGCTTAGTCATACCCACACTCACTGACACTCAGACCCACTCAAACTCAAACGCACTGATCTGGCGGACTCGCCCATATTCACACTCACACAATCAGACTCGCTCACTCTCAGCCTCTCATTTTCAGACCCACTCATACCTAGACTTACTCATACTCAGAGGCCGCATGCTCACCGCGACGTAGCATGCATTGCGGTTGGGTACCCCGAAGGGAAGCCGCGTGAAGGTATATCACGGGTCCATGAGCGCTCAGATTATGATGATGATGTCCCAGGCGGTTTGCTTGTTTTGTGCCCCCCCCAATGCTTCTCCCTCTTCACAGTCACCTGCCCACCGCGGTACAGCAGGCACAACATTTCAGAGACTAAGAGAAGTGCAGCAGACTTCAGCAGAAACCAGCAGAGACTAGAAGAGAGCAGCATAGACCAGCACATATTAACATTCACCATAATATACCAAGACCAGCAGATATTAGAAGAAGGCAGCCGACACCGGCAGAGACCAGCAGAGAGCAGTGAAGAGCAGCAGAGACCAGCAGACACCAGCAAAACCAAGCAGAGCCCAGCTGGCACCAGCAGGCTCACTAGCATTCCGACTCACTCGTGCTCAGTCACCGCTCTCGTTTCCTCAGTGTTTCTGTGCTGTTGCAAGCGTGCGCCTGGATGCGTGCCGATGTTCACTCTTGTGGCTTGTCATACATCCAGCGGGCACCCTCGCGGAAAACAGCGCAGATCGGCGCAGTACAGCAGCGGGCGGAACAGATAAGCAGGCGACGGCTGGGAGCATCAGAAACACCGCTCCCACCAGGAGTCGCTTGCACCCAGCCGCCCTCTTGCACAGAATCGCTCACGCTGAGACACCCACCGTAGGAGATGCCAGGGCACGAGTTGCACATGTGGGGGTCGCCGTGCCGAGTTTTTGTTTGCTCTCCTCGGCCCCATCCCGCTCCCTGGTCCCCTTTCCCTATTTCTCTAGGCTTCCCAGATGGGAGCTGAGTAGACGGGGTCGAAGAATCGCGTCGCATTCCCGATGCATCGCCGATGCATCGCCGAGGTATCGCCAAGGCTTCGTCGATGCACCGGTGGCGTCTGCGATGCCGCGGCGATGCTGGCGTGGAGCCAGTCGGGCTCCACCACAAGCCGCGTATCCGATGCTTCGGCGATGCGGCGCGGTCCTCGGCCCCCTCTACTCGGACCCCATCTATCGGATGGACCCAACAGGGTGTCCAGCGACAAGGGGGTCGTGCAATAGATTTGGTGCAGTAGATTTGTGGGGTTGCAATACATCTGGGGCGTGCAATACATTCCAGGGCGCAAATGTATTGCCGGATTCCCGCGTGCGATACATCACTTGCAATGCAATGCAAGACGATCCTCCTGCGCAGTGCATTTGCTGCAACACGATTGCCCAGCTGGACCCCCTTTTGGACCCCCGTCCAGCTGGACCCCCTTTTGGGTCACCCACAATCACCTCGCGCCAGCATGGCGCGCGGCCTCCCAGGCCTGGCGTCGAGCTGCTGCGCAAGGCCTTGCTGACCTTCAAGCAGGCGTCTGGTGTGGGCTTCGGCCCTGTGAGGCCCAGGCAGCTGCTGGAAGTCGAGAATGAGTGACTCGAGTGTTGCACCGATTGTGCTTATGGCGACAGAAGCTCCCGCATGCTGGCCAATCCAGGAGGCCCCTCGCCTCGCGCGCCGCCTCCGCCGCCCTCTGGCTCCTCGGCGCGCCCGCAGCTGGAAGCTCGCGCGCTCCCCGGGCGGCCGCAGCCGCCGCCGCGCCGCCCCTCCTCCTTGGGCGCCGCCCCGTGCCCCGGGCGAGAGGCCGCCCGGGGGCGCGCGGCGGAGGGCCCTGCGCCTCCCGAGAGCGCGCCTGTCTTCGGCATCGTTTGACCGATCCCCATCCCCAGGAGGAGGAGGGGGGGGAGGAGGAGGAGGAGGAGGAGGAGGAGGAGGAGGAGGAGGAGGAGGAGGAGGAGGAGGAGGAGGAGGAGGAGGAGGAGGAGGAGGAGGAGGAGGAGGAGGAGGAGGAGGAGGGAGGAGGAGGAGGAGGAGGAGGAGGAGGAGGAGGAGGAGGAGGAGGAGGAGGAGGAGGAGGAGGGGAGGAGGAGGAGGAGAGGAGGGGGAGGGGAGGAGGAGGAGGAGGAGGGGGAGGAGGGGGAGGGGGAGGGGGAGGGGGAGGGAGAGGAGGGGGAGGAGGAGGAGGAGGGAGGAGGAGGGGAGGAGGAGGAGGAGGAGGAGGTGGAGGAGGAGGAGGTGGAAGAGGAGGAGGAGGGACTTTCTCCCCGGGCCCATTCTGCGCTGCCGTGCGCTCCTCTGCGCGGAGGGAGGAGGGTGGCTACAGTCTCGTTTATCCTACCCCCATCCCCATCCCCATCCCCTTCGAGACCGCCACCAAGTGACCACCCCAGTTGGGGACATGCCCCTTGAAACCCGCTGGGAACGGCCTATATATCCCCATCTAGGTTGGCAAATCGGCCAGTGGGGCCCAGGCCACGCCGCTGGGGATGGGGACTGGTTAAACGATACTCATGTCTAGGCTGAAGTCGGGCCTGTCCCTCGACGGGGAATATTCAAGACCAGTCAACAAATAATATGGGGACGGTTTTTGGATTTTTTTGGGCCATTTGGGAGTATGTTTTGAGTACTCTTACTTTTTCGCCCAAAAGCCCCCCTGTAGGGGGACAGGCCTGACCGAAGTCTAGGCCTCCCAGAGAGGGTCCTTCGGCAGCAGATCATGAGAGCCTCGTATGTGCACCTGCGCAGATTGGCAGTGATGCCGTCTTCAGAGCTTCAGAGTGCGTGAGCGTCGCTTCGCGTTGCCGATGTAGCGTCGACGAGCGCAAGCCGCGTCGACCAGCGTCGATTTAGCGGCAACGTCGTCGATTCGCGAGAGCCAGCAAGACGGTGTGGGAGGCTCCAATGAGTTGCCGCAGAAGGGTCCGAGGATCGTGCCGCATCGCCGCATCGCCGATGCATTAACGATGCGGATGGATGTGGATCCCGACGGCCGACGACGCCGATGCATCGGCGATGCATCGGCGATACGGCGCGATCCTCCGACACCATCTACTCCGACCCCATCCAGCTCATCTAGGATGCCTCTGTTATCCTAGATCCCTGAGATTGGCAAGCCCAACGCGATCGCAATACCAGGGGCCCGCCACCGGAGGCTGCGGGGATCCTGGAAGTCGGCGCAGAGATGAGGTGATGCCAATCTCGGGGTAGGGAAACCACTCATGGGAACCAACAGGGATCCGCCGACACGCTACTGGAGGCCTGCGAAGGCCGCCGACGGCTTCCGGCGCCGACGGCTTCCGAAGGCAGCCGACGGCCTACGAAGGCCGCAGGCGGTGACGACCGGCGACGACGCCGACGCCGACGCCGACGCCGACGCCGACGCCGCGCCCGGCGACGACGACGACGACGAAACCGACAACGTCGTAACCGACGGCGACGGAAGCGACGTCGACGACCAGCTGCAGCGGGTGCCCCAGGCCTCTGGCCCGGGGCACCTGCTGCAGATCCTGGCCGGGGCCAGTCCTGGGCCCGGGAGCAGAGGCTCGGGGACGGCCACACGGGGGGGGAAGATGGCTGGTGCGGCAGTTTTTTTTCTAGCTGGCGTTTGCGCTCGTTCTAGGGCCCCGGGGTCATCACATGTCGGTCCGGCTCGGTGAATGCATCAGAAAGATGGAGTCTAGGGCTCCCGTCGTGTTCCTCTAACGATGTTGCACTTTGTTCGCAGCGTCGGATCTCGAGGAGGGGGGGCGGACATCATGTCTGGCGCCATGCATTTCACCGGATCTCATGGCCCCCTGCCTATTTCAACATGCCCGCATCTTGTGGCCCCTTACATCAACATATCCCCCCTCTCTCCCCCCCCGGGGCCGCGCATGTGGTCGGGCTATGCTTGCGAACTCCCCTTCTTGGGCGCCCCCCTCTGGGACGCGCCCCCGCGACAGTAGACAAAGGCCCGTGGTTCATGCCTCGCGACAAAGAGGCTCGCGAGGCATGAACCACGGGCCGTGCGGGCGCGCCGAAGGCTGGCGCGTGCGGGCGCAGGGGACCACGGTCGGACCAGCGCCTGGTCTGATAACTGCGCATTCTGGTGCGGAAGACATGTATATCCATGTCCCGTGCGGGCGACAGCATCAGTCTTCCTGCCTCGCGACAAAGACCATGGCGGATGGCTTCTGGTATTTGTCGGCCTGTGGTGGGGCCCTTGGCCGGACCCCGGGGCCGTCAACAAAACCACGCAGGACGAGGAGCCAATCCCTGGGAAGGTGTCCAGACCTGTAGGAGTCCAACTGAGGGAGGAATCGCGACGTCGGAGGTCTGGGATGTTCCTCTTATGAGCGTCCGAAGAGCCTCCAAGGGCCTCACAAGGGCCCCAGGATTGCCTCAGGAGGCCCCCCAGGGGCCTCATGCTGACTTCATGTTGGCCGCCCTTGGTTCGCATGAGCGAAACGGCTCCTGAGAGCAAACGGGCCATGGAGTTGCTTCGCCGTTTCCGGGCTAGGGCCAGGAGGAGGATGATGAGGGGACGAGGGAAGGAACGATGAGGGGAGGAGGGAGGGGGGAGGGGGAGGCGAGGAGGGGATTGAGGAGGAGGGTGAGGAGGAGGGGGATGGAGCGGTGAGGAGGGTGAACCCGAAAGTCAAAAAGGCCTTCTTTCTTCTACCCTGACTCTGTTGTCCCAGTCGGTCCAAGTTACCCTAAAGTCAAAAAGGTCGCCGTCGCCGTCGCCGTCGCCGTCGCCGTCGCCGTCGCCGTTGCCGTCGCCGTTGCCGTCGCCGTCGCCGTCGCCGTCGCCGTCGCCGTCGCCGTCGCCGTCGCCGTCGCCGCCGTCGCCGTCGCTGTCGCCGCCGTCGTTGCTGTCTGCCGTCGCCGCCTTCGCCGCCGCCGCTGTCGCCGCCGCCTTCGTCGTCTGTCGCTGTCCGTCGCTGTCGTCGTCGTCGTCATCCTCGTCGTCGCTGTCGTCTTCGTCGTCGTCGTCGCTGTCGTCGTCGTCGTTGTCCGCCGTCGTCGCTGTCGCCGCCGTCGCCGTCGTCGCTGGCGCCCGCGCCCCAGTCTGGCCATGTCGGAAAAGCGGAAAGACCCCGACGACGGCAAGGCGCTTATGCGGCGCGGGGTGCGGCGCGCTCGGCGCGGTGCGCTCATCCTCGCGGGGGTTGTGCCGCGGCTGGCTCTTGGCGCCAAGCCGCCCGCGGCGATGCGAAGATAGTTGCGCTTGGTCCAATTCGCGCGTGTGATCTGAAATGGTTGACGCTTCGCGAATCGCCACTAGCCCATCCAGAAACGATGCCCAGAGGAATTGCCTCGATCAGGGAAGTGGGCAGCACACAGAGGAAGCCATTCTGAGACATCTTGGGATATCTTGAGTCATCTCGGAGGTCATTTCGGGCTTTCCAAGGCGCTCTTGGAGTCATCTTAATCAGTGCCCCCCCCCCCCCCCAAGAGGCCAACATGTGGCTAAAACCTTCGTAAAATCAATGATTTGGCATTCTCGCCGAGGTCTCTTGGAGCATCTTTGGTGCCTCTGGGGGATCTCTTGGGGCCTCTTGGGGGTCTCTTGGGAGCCTCTTGGGGGCATCCAGGGGGCCTCTTGGGGCTTCCTGGCCACCTCTTGGGGCCCTCTTGGGGTATCCTTGGGAGCCTTGGGGGCCATCGTTGGGCCATCTTGGGTGAGATCGATCACAGGAGGGGAGGTCCCTAATTAGGGTCCCCCCCTCAGGAGGCCAACGTGGGGCCAAACCTTAGTAACACCAATGATTTTGGCTTCCTCGCCGAGGCCGTTTTGGACGCTCCGACGAGTCGCGGAACCCCCTGTCCAGGTTCATGGGGAGGGGGTAGGTGGAGGGGTAAACCCCTCCCCGAAAGGGAAGAAGGAGGGGTGGAAGAGGAAACGCCCTAAACCACCGACGCCCAGAGGGCTGGTGGGATGAGTCCGCGACGTGGCTGTTTTGCTATTCCAGCTTCGCCCCCTCCCTTGCCGCTCCCTCCGCAGCTGCCCTGCCGTCGCCTCGCGGTTCACGGGGCCATGAGGTGTTGCGGAGCGCCGTGAGCGCCGCCTCGCAGCCGCGTGAGAAAATTTAATGGGCGAGGGCCCAACCATATGCAGTTGTGGGTAACCCAGTTGTGAGTGTCGTCTTCGGTGGGGCTCCCTATGGGGCAACGAAGCGTGTGAGGGAAGTGCCGAAAATGGGTGGCGCGGGCGTCTGCGAACCTTGCCATTGGAGCCTGCGGTGGAGCTCCTTCATGGGCCGCGAAACTTGTGAGGGGCGTGCCGAAATTGGTGGGTGGGCGCATGCGAACGAAGCCGCGGACGCATGCGAACGCAGCCATTGGGACCTCTGGTGGAGCTCCACATGGGGCCGCGAAACGTGCGAGAGGTGTGCCGACATGGGTGGCGCGGACGCATGCAAACCATGGGCCTTGGGTGGAGCTCCTGATGGGGCCATGAAACATGTGAGGGGTGTGTCAACATGGGTGGCGCGAACACATGCGAACCCTGCCACTGGAGCCGTCGGTGGAGCTCCCCGTGGGGCCACGAAGCGTGCGAGGGGTGTGCCGAAATGGGTCGGGCGGATGCATGTTGACCGCGCTTCGAATGGAGCCCCCAATAGGGGCCGAAATGAGTCGCCCGGACGCATGTAAACCGTGCCATTGGGGCCCTTCGGTGGAGTTCCCTATGGGGCCAGGAGACGTGTGAGGGGTGCGCCGAAATCCGTCGGTCGCGCGCGCGCGCGTGTAAACGTTGCCAGTATGGGCGGAGCTCCGCATGGAGCCACGAAACGTGTGAGGGGTGTACCGACAGGGGCGGCTCAGACGCATGTATACCGTGCCGTTGGGGCCTTCGGAGGAGCTCCCAATTGGGTCACGAGGCGTGTGAGGGGTGTGGCGAAATGGGTCGCGCGAACGCATGTAAACCCTGTCTCTGGGGCCTTCGCTGGAGGTCCGTATGGGGCCACGAAGCGTGTGAGGGGTGTGCCGAATGGGTCTCGCGGGCGCTTGTAAACCATGCCACAGGGGCCTCCTGTAGGGCTCCCGATGGGGCCACGAAGCGTGTGAGGGGTGTGCCGACATGGGTCACGCGGGCGCATGTAAACCGTGCCATTGGGGCCTTCGGCGGAGATCCTTCATGGGCCGCGAAACGTGTGAGGGGTGTGCCCCCAAATGGTTGGCTAGCTCGGAGGGAATCGGCAGGGATGGGAGGAGGGAGGAGGGGGAAGAGGAGGGGAGGAGACGCGGCGCGTTGTCTTCTCAAAACGCCACAGGATGGTCGGGAGCAACATGGAACGCAGCCTCTTTCGCACCGGGTCCCATTCCTGTTTATATCCTTTCATTCCCATTCTTTTGAGTTGCCACAGCCATATCCACACGGAAGGAGTGGGGACGAAGGTTGACAGCTTGTCCTACCCATTTTGAGCAGGGCCCGCCGTCGGTGCCACCGCGGGCGTTGCTCATTTGCGCCAGAAGGCCGCCTGCCAAACAGCGGCCGCTGCCAGTTTTGGACAGCATGTGCTGTCAGGCATCGTGCCCCGTTTTTCCGTATCCGCTCCGGGCATGTGTGTGTGTGTCTGTGTCTGTGTTTGCGTCTGCGTCTGCGTCTGTGTCTGTGTCTGTGTCTGTGTGTGTGTGTGTGTGTGTGTGTGTGTGTGTGTGTGTGTGTGTGTGTGTGTGTGTGTGTGTGTGGGGGTCCTCCGCTTCGCACCTCTGCTCGGGCGGCGCCAGGAGAGGGAGAGCGCGCGCCGCGCGCGCTGCCCTGGCCGTCGCCGCGCCGGTTGCGCACGGGCCTCCTGCCGTGGGGCCGCGACGTCGCCGCGGCCGGACTCCGCTCCGAAGCCCTGGCGCGGGCCCGAGGGAACTTTGCCGACCTTCCCAGGCGAGCCAGGGCCCATGCATCACCCAGGAGTTTTCAGGCTCTGCTTCAAATCATGGAGGGCACAGAGTGTGCTGGGCGCCACAGTCAGGACGGAGGCGGGGAGAGAGAGAGAGAGTGAGAGAGAGAGAGAGAGAGTGGGCGTAAGAAAGCAAACAACAACTGCATCACCCAAGGGACTTAGGCCCAGGGGCTGGCATTTCTTCCCCTCGCCTCCTTGCACCTCCCTCTCCCCTGGCACCCCTCTTCCCCTGGCATCTCTTCCGTTTCGCCTGGCACCTCTTCCCCTCTCACCGCTCTCCTGGCGCCTCTTCTCCTCTCTCCCTTTGCGCCCGTCCGTTTGCTGTCTCGCGGTCGGCCTTTCCTTGCTTTTCTTTTCGCGCCTGCCCAGGGCCGACGCGCCCACGAGGGGGAGGTGGAGAAGGAGGAGGAGCAGGAGGAGGAGGGGCAGGAGGAGGGGCAGGAGGAGGAGGAGGAGGAGGAGGAGGAGGAGGAGGAGGAGGAGGAGGAGCAGGGACGAGGAGGGGTAGGGGGAGGGGGACGGGGAGGAGGAGGAGCTGGAGGAGGAGCTGGAGGAGGAGGAGGAGGAGGAGGAGGAGGAGGACAAGGACAAGGACATCCGCATAAGGGGGTGCCGCGTAGGAGGAGGAGGAGGAGGAGGAGGAGGAGGAGGAGGAGGAGGAGGAGGAGGAGGAGGAGGAGGAGAAAGGGGAGCAGTGTAAACCCATTACTTGTCAACGATGTTTGAGTCATCCCTCCCTACGAGCTCCTTTCTTCATATGCCCCTACAGTGATTCACTGGGGGAAACCCCTGTTGGGAGACAACCGTTTGAATATCCAGAAGCATGCCAAAACACGACTCCGGACCCCAACGCTACGAACTCACCTGACTTTTGCGTCTTGACTATCCGGCATCGCGCCAGAATGCCATTCCTGACACTTCGACACCGCGAATCAACGTACTTGTTGCGCCCTGGCAATCCTAGGTCCTGGATTGTTCCAAACGCAATTTCTAGTACGATGAGAGCGGGAACCCGTGAAACTTGTGCCCATGTTTGGGACGAGTGTGCGCGGCGCGAAGGCGAGAGCCTCCTTTTGAAAAGGAGCCGCCCTCAATCCGTGAAGCTCTCGCATTTTTTAAGACGAATGCGCGCGGCGCCATGGCGAGATCCACATGTTGAAAACGGCCCGCCCTCATTCCGCGAAGCTCTTGCAATTTTTCGAGACGAATGTGCGCGGCGTTGAGGCGAGAGCCACATTTTGAAAACCACCCGCCTTCCATTTGTGAAACTGTTGCCAACTTTTTAGCTTCAGAGTCATCAGTGGTAAGTCTCAGGCGAAACAGGAGGAGGAGGAGGAGGAGGAGGAGGAGGAGGAGGAGGAGGAGGAGGAGGAGGAGGATGAGGACAGGCCGCCGTCGCTGTCGCAGTCGCCGTTGTCGTCTCTGCCGCGCGCGCCGCCGCCGCCGTCGGCGGCGGCGGGCCCCGTCGCTCTAGGCCGCGCCGGCGGCCCCGGCGCCTGCCCGCCGGGCTGCGCCGGGGCCCCCCGGAGGCGCCGAGCGGCGCGCGGTCCTCGGGGCTCCAGCCAGAGCGCCCGATAACTGCGGGAGCCTGCAGGGCCAGGGTCGCACTGGCCTGGGGTGGGTCTTGCAGGATCTTGCAGAGTCCTTCGCGTTGACCCGGGTTTGGGTGCAGGATCTTGTAGGATTTGGCAGGATTCTGCAAGGCCCGACTGGCCTGGGTCTGGAATGACCCGGGTCAGAAGATCCCCGAGCAGTCCTCCTCCGCCCGTCTCGGGGTGGGCAGCGCGAGCGCAGGCCTACACCTTCGAGGAGCTCGCGGAGTTCTACAAGGGCAAGTACAAGAAGAAGGAGACAGCGCGGCGCAGGGGGGAGGCCAGGGGAGGCCGGGCGGGGCCAGGGGATGGGGGTACGAGTCGTTCCAGATGGATCCGAGACGCCATCGGAACGTCTCTGGAGCGCTCTGGGAAGGTCGCGGCGCCAGGTGCCTCCCCCAGAACCGCCAGGTCTCAGAGATCCCCGATTTGTCCCGCTCCGAGTTTGTCCTCTGACTCTGCCCTGCCAGGACAGGGGCAGTGGACCCCCTCTTGCTTCCTGTGGTCTTCGTCGCCGTTGTCCTCCTCCACCTCCTCCTCCACCACCTCCTTCTCCCCTTCCGCCGTCGACCTAGCCGAACCTAGTCAGCTCCCTGCCGCGCGCCCGTGCTCCTGGCCTCTTCGGAGACCCCCTCTTCGCCACTTGCTTGCCACTTGCCCCCTTCTCCTCCTCCTCCTCCTCCTCCTCCTCCTCCTCCTCCTCCTGTCTGACGTTGCGCAGGCTCGATGAAACAGCATGTCGCGTTATGATGCAAAAAAGAAAAATGATCGCCGACTGAGCGGCGAGGGAAACACATTAAGCCTGGCTGGCGCAGCAGAGCAAGGTATGCCACCAGAACAGGAAAATAGTATGGCCCAAACGGCACAGAGTATGCACCAGCCAGGCGGTCTGCGAGAAGGAGGGAACGAACGACTAAACACAATGTTGACAGAGCCGTTCGAAAGAAGAGGGAACGACACACACGTGCAGCAGAAACTGAACTGAGTGCTGCTGTGCCCAGAGTTAACTTGATACCCCCACCAAGGCAGTCAAATAAACAACCCATCTTGCCTAATATGTCCAGGCGCCTTGCGTCAACGTTAAAAGTATCATAAAACAATAGCAAAGCAGGCGACGCCCGACATCAGCTAAGCCTGGTGATACTTTAATGCTTCCTCCATACCTTCACCAGCTACTCCCCAATCCTCAGTAGTTTAACAAGGTGAGCTGTGGCGTGGCAGCATGAGGAAGTTCAATGCGAGCAGAGGTAGCATAGACAGGCGGCTCTAGGAGTAGGTGCAGAGACAGCTTGAGTGGGGTAATCATACTAGACTTTTTATACTGGCAAGAGAAGAGCCAGTAACTAGATGCACAGCATGTGGCAATTCCTGCGCTGCCACTCAGGTTTTTTCGGTTCACCCCTAATCTACATTGCCACGAGACCATCGTGCTTTTCGTGAAGTATTGTTGGGTTTAGCACGAGCCCTTGTCATAATAGGCTAGCTCAGTGTAACCTGGCTGGCCTGTAGCAGTTGCGTGGGGCTACACCCTTTATCCATTGGGGGGGGACCGAACTATAGCGTGCCCACAACTAATGTACGCAGCTGAAACGGCGTAAGGCTGAGCAGAGAGAAACCGAGGGAGAGAGAGAGAGAGAGAGAGAGAGTTGTCGAGTAGTGGTTGTCATGACGGCGACAGGGTACTGATGTGCTGGGAGGAAGTCAAGTGCTTGACATCTCTGCAGCTAGGCAGAGCTGGGAGAGACTGGAGGTAACATGCGAGGCTGGCAAAACAAATGATGAACGGTGTTGAGAAGATACTCGTGCATGCTGCCAGCTGAGCTGAACTCGTCTGAGCAAGCTGGTAAGCAATCGTCCCATCTGAGTAGTGTGGCTGGCGCACTGTGTTGGCTGGCTACGGTCAATTATGTCCTGGTGTGGCCCAACACGTGGGCAAGTGTGGCCTCCTCCACCCCCTCCACCACTCCAGACACATCCAGCTCCAGAGACAGGACAGCAAGCCGAGTAGAAACTGGTGCACGGTGTGCAGTTTGACCTGTGGGGCCACGGCCTGTAGCAGGGGGCCTTGAAGTGCACCGTGTGAATTGGGAGGCCAGAGTAGGCATAGGATGTGCATGTTGAAGTACAACAGCAGGTAGCCCAGCCGCCCCTCCACGCATCCCGCCACCGCACAGCAGCCCAATGGTCGAGCACACCCGCCCGCTCCCCGTCGATGTCACGCTGCTGGGCGGGTGCTGCCTGGCCGATGGCAGTGGCTCGTAGGAGACTGGGGCTGATGGGCCTGTTTTCCACCACCACCACCAGAAGTTGGAGGGGGGAAGGAGGTGGAGGACGAGGATGAGGAGGACGAAGAGGAGGAGGAGGAGGAGGAATGAATGAATGAATGAATAACTCGTGGAGTCCTGTGCCTACCTCTGTCTGACTGCCACAGCTCGCTGAAACAGAATTACAATCCAGAGAGAAGGACTCTGAGTCGGGTTGCTTCTGCACCCCCCAGACATCGTAGCGGATTCAACCAGCGCGCTCCGCTGGAAGCGGCACTGGCCCTACCTGCACCCCTATGGACGGGCACGCAGCCCTAGGGGGCAGGCTCCGAAGGCACGGGGGTCCCGTCCACACCGCCCGCCCTCCCACGCCCAGAGCCCCACCGTTTCCCCTTGCCTTTGGAGCCCGCTTTACCTTTAGCTCTAGGGGCATACATAATTGGGGTCTGGGGCAGCGGGCCTGGAAGAGAGGAGGCAGCGGCATAGGTACAGAGCTGAGTGGGCGTATTAAGCACCTCAGGTGAAATTGATCCTCTAGCAACTAACTCCCGAAATCGCTCGCTTCCCGAAAAAGCTTCCTGGGCCCTTGAGGCCCTGGAGGGGTTAAAAAACGAGTGCACATAGCCCCGACAGGGGGCTGCTGGCTTGGTTGCTGCTGCTGAGTTATGCGGTCACTACCTAGTTTCGTCGAATTATCTGCTTCGGAAAGTGGTCCCGACGAGGGCTGGCTAGCTACTGCTTCTCTGGGGAGGTCTCCTGGGGGCCAGCTGCCTACTCCTTCTTCTCGGATCCGACCATCGTGCCGATCTCGCGCTCCAAGGGGCCCCGCGGGGCCGCTCCCGACAAGAAGATCCCCCCTCCGACTCCACCAGCGCCTCAAGCAGCACGGATAGGTCGTGCCCGAGCTTCTGGTCCTTGTGGAAGCACATGCTGATGATCGCCTTGGCAGTCTCGCCGTTCTGAGGCTTGAGAATCTGGCACCTGAAGTACGGGATCGATCTGCCAAGCTTCACTGCCGTCACTCCCGCGGTGAATATCTCCTTCTCGTAGAAGGCCTTCGTGTCGTCCCTGAGTTTGATGTGCTGCGGCCTGCCACCTTCTTCGAACTGTTTGCTGGCGCCGTAGATGATCGCCGCCATCGCTATGGATACGTGTGGGGGTCCCCTGGCTTTGAAGTCCACTGTGTGGCCGTTCTTCTGCTGGTCTTTGAGCTCGGTGCCCACCTTTTTGTAGTTCACTCCAGCCTGCTTGCACGCGGCCGCCAGCCCGATCGTGCCGTTCGGCAACTCGTGGCGGAGATAGAGCGCGCCCTTCAGGTCGGCGACGTCCCTGGCGAGCGTCATCGTGAGGCGTGCGTTGGCGACGGACAGCTTGTTGTTTCCTCCACCGCCCTGGCCTTGGCGACTGCTCTTCCCTCGGCGACCTTCCTCGCCTGTTCCACCGTCTTCTCGTCCGTGCTTGGTCCCTGACGCCGCCGCCGACGGGGAGCTGAACCAAGAGGGTAGCGCCACGGCGCCCTGCGATGCCATCCCTCCTCTGCTCAGGTACGGTAAACTCGCGAGGACGAAATGGAAGGTGAGAGCACAAGTGGTCGCACAAATCATTTAAGCTCGAGCCCTCGAACTCGCAGACGGGGCACAAGTAGGACTTGACAGGAACAATCTCTCGAAGCGTGGAAGGGCCGACCGTGTCGCAGTGGCCCCGAAACATAGATCCCATGACGTGTTTAGCTGCGTTGGCACGACATGCAAATACTTGACGACAATGTACACAGATATTGGCAGGTGTGATGACATGACATATATTTCTCAGCCCGTGCGTTCCCCGAAGATGATTCATCAAGTCCCGACGTGTCTTAAATGAAGCATCGCATTGACCTGACCAATTTTCCTCGTTGGGAAGCCAGCATTTCCAAGGAATGTCTGCACTCGCATCAACCTCCTGCGGCTCCAGGTGCTCGGGTGGCGCCTGCTGGAACCCGGGAGGCGGGATGGCGACCGTGTACTGCCCCGCTCTGTAAGCCGAGGCGTCCACTGCGGAAAAGAAAGAGGCAGTCGCTTCATCCATAAGTAATCTGAAATCGCGAGCCACCTCGTCAAAAACTTCCTGGTCCAACGCTGCAGCGAGGCTGCGAAGGTCTTCGCGGAGTTGGAAGGCCCAGGAGGACGCCTGGGCACTGAGGTCGCCTGAGGGGAGAAGTGGCCCCTCTGACTCGAAAGGTAGTTCCCCAAAGAGAACGCCGAGAACCTGAAGATGGCGGGCGGGCCGTCGAGCCCAACTCTGCACCAGTCGAACACGTCGAATTCGAAGCTCCAAAAAGGGGTCAGAAAGTTTCCAATATATCATCAATTCACGATTCGTCATCGTCCGAGGGTGACTACCTGTCCAGTCCGTAGCCTTTCCAGCCATCGCAATCCTACAGAATCGGGCCAACGAGGCCTCCAGCCTTTGGTAGTCGCCCTTCGCGAGCGTGAAATATTCCGAACCACTTAAAAGAGCATTGTACGCAAATGCTTGAAGTAGCAACCGTTTGAATTTCCAAGGCAACTCCAGCTGCCAGACTGAACCCAGAGACCGAAAAGAGACCCAGGCCGTCGAAATACGTCGGTCGATTTCGTGATGTACGCCGTCCCGAAGAGCCAGATGGGGCCCCAGATACCTCACCTCATCCTTTACTGAGCCCTCAAGTCCCAGACCTCCTCGCCTAAGAGCCTGTTTGAGATATGTGTTGTGGATCCCGAAAAACATCATGAACTCCTGCTTTGACGTGTTCTGGCCGAGCCCGCAGGGTCCCAACCTGTTGTTTAAATAGACATCCCGCTGCTTTATCTTGTTCACAAAAGACGGCAGGTCCGAACCATGATCAGCCAAGACAAAGTTATGAACATCGTCAGCATACTTCAGATAACTCACGTCGATGGTTCGGCCTGCCCAAGAAGCCTGCAGCTCCTTACTGCGCAGGTCACTAGTTTGAACATCATCGCGCCACTGCTCGATCGGCGCCTTGAAGGTTCCGTTGAAAGCCTGCGCGATAAACGGATCCCCCATCAACCCGCCCTGCTGAGTCTTCAGTGTTATCCGCCCTCCCTCCCCAGCAGGTAGGGCCACGACGGCCTCGCGATAGCGAGCACGGCAGAGACTGCGATCATCATGTGCTACGTACTCCTGTACAGCTGCGTCCATCTGCGGCCACTTGCCGCTGGCGAACGCGTTACTCGTGTCCTTAAAGCACAGACAGTGGGTTCTGCGAGCACGGCGCAAACGTTGCGAGAGCACGTTCGAGACCAGGATTGCCGACTCCCTCCTCCTTCCCTTAACGAACCCGTAGTCCGAGTGGCCAGGCTCGTAGACAAACATGCGAGCGAAAAAAGCCTTGCCTGGAACATGTAAAATGTGGACCACCCTCTTGCCCATCGGGCCGCGCTTGTGGCTCTTGTGAAGAGGGGCGCCCAGACTGCAGTTCCAATACTTCGGGACCGTGCCGTGGGTCCGCATTTTGTGGAGGCCGAGGTTCAGGATAAACAGAAAGCTCTCGTATCTGGTGCCTGAGATGGAGCCCCGAGGCCCCCGACTTGTTTTCGTCTCCAGTTCGGGTGCATAACCATGTGCCAGAGTTCCAGCGGCGCGCAAAAGCTGGGCACTGCACGACGCTTGGGGGCAGAGCGGATGTATCTGCGCATCTGGGCAATATCCTCCTTCACCTCCTCGTTCTCCTCCAACGGGTAATCCTCGTCGTGCTCCTCCCTCCACCTTTCCCAGTCCAGCTCGGTGCAACTCATGCCTCCCTCCTTGCCCTCCTTCTTCCACGTATTCAACCATTCAGAAGATGAAGGCATACACGCGCATGCTAAACGTCCGTCCCGTCTTTTGGGGCCGAACCTGCACGAAGCAGCTCTGCGTGCCGTCGACATAGCTTCGGCGATCCTGTGAAACTTCCAATGCTCTGTCGATTCTTCAGTAAGCCGAGCTCGTCGCCGTCGCACCGCCTGCCGCCTAAATTTACAGAGTCTCGTGGAAATCTCGCGCAGCTGGCAATCGACCTCGTCGATCTCTGAGGCTGAGAGAAAAAGCTTGGTGCCGCGAAGCTCGGCTCGGTCTTTCAGTAGCCGTCGCCGCCAAGTGCAGTACATCTAGTACTCTGGGTCTACAGTCGCATTTTTGGGAAAAACTTGCTCACCTGCATTTCGTAGTGCGAGTTCGAGTGCTTCAAAAATCTCATCGGGGCTTGCATGATCTCGTAACCAGTATGCCTGAATCTGTTGCAGTTCCGTATGCAGTGCTTCTAGGTATTCGAGCCGACCAGGGCCCCGAAGTAGTGCTTGCATCATAGCCTCCTTATCCCAAGAAATATTCGTCGCCTCCTCCTCCGCCTCCTGATACTGGTTCCCTTTATTATAGTGCATAACGAGCGCGACTGGCAGGTGGTCCCCCGGGGGTGGACCTTGAAAGGGTTGCAAGCGAGCCCCGAGGCGCCTCAAGCAGCCGCAAGAACGAACCAGGTGACGCATCCTTAGAGGACAGCATACGTAGTCGATCCGACTGTTCGAATTGTTCCCGAAGAAGGTCGAGGCCACGACGGGCCCGTCCGTGTTCGCGGCCCAGAGGTGGTGGTGCTCCAGAAGTTCTCTGAAAAGTTGTCCAGCCCCCTTGGAAAGTCTTTCACGATTCCCTGTTCCTACTGCATCCGAATTGCACTCGACCCATTGCCCGTTCAGAAACTCGAGGCCCATCCCGTCGTTCAGGTCAGTATAGATCAATGGCGTGCACCGCGTCGGTAGGGAATCTATAATATCTTTTACAAAAGAAACCACAAGTTGTACAGTCTTGAAAAAAATCCCTCGTGCTTTCCGAAGAGTGGGTTGGGGTGGAAAGTAGGCGGAGATGATACAGAGGTCCATCGCCCCCTTCTTGAAGCGAGCAGCAACTCCACGACCCAACGCCTGCGGGGGGCTGCCCCAGACACGCACGACATGTTGTTCACGCACCCGATGAGGAAGCACGACCGCACACCCACACGAATTGTTCGAATATGGCGCCTCGCCGTGAGGAGCCTCGATGACCAATCGCCCCAAGATCGTGCGCTTGAGCGTCTGCGCGCCCATGTAGCGCTCGCCGTTCTTGGTGCCTGCCAGGGCGATCGCATCGAAGTTCGGAACCTCGCTCAGAATCTCCTCCGTCCTGGAATAACCTGCCGAGTCAGGATTGTAGCCCAAGAACCGCAACATGGCAAGGCCCCCCGCCGCTGGTGAAAGACGGGGGAGAAAAACACCTGTCGGGACTACATTGTGAGATGTCGGTCTCGCCCGAAACCGCGGACTTGGGCATCGGGGGCTAGGAGGAGGAGGAGGAGGAGGAGGAGGAGGAGGAGGAGGAGGAGGAGGAGGAGGAGGAGGAGGACCCCCTGCCCCTCCAACTTCATGGTGGTGGTGGTGGAAACATTTCCATCAGGGGTTGTACTGAGAGACCTCACACGGAGGTCGGGATGAGGTGCACCTGTGCTGGCATAGTAGACTGTAACCCAGCAGAACAAAGAGAGAAACTGTAGGTAACCTGCGCAGCCTGCGGAAGAACTAGGATGGGCTGTCATGACAGCTACTCGTGCATGCTGCTGGTGCCGATGATCGAGAAAGGTGAGGGCCTGGAAGATCTAGGTGTCAAACGTCCTCCTCCTCCTTCTCCTCCCAGCCGAGGGGATGAGCTGCGCCCGCGGGCTCTGGCTCGCGCTCGGACGCAGACTCGGGCGGCAGGATGTCGCTCCCTCACGTCACGTTCAGGTCCCCGCGCCCATCACGAGCACCCGGATCCTACAGGAGCTCCTCGCCGTCGTCGCCCTCCTCTCTCCCCTCCTCGGGCTCCTCGTCCTTCCTGCTTTCCGCATCCTTCTCGTCCTTCTCGTCCTCCTCGCTTCGTCCTTCTCGTCCTCCTCGCTTCGTCCTCCTTTCTGCTTTCTGCTTCGTCCTTCTCGTCCCTCTCGCTGCCGTGCTCATCTTCCCCCCCGTCCTGCGCAGCCCTCCCCACTGCTTCCCCGCCTCCTCGGATCGAGGAAGACACTCGTCGAATCGAGGGGCTTGTCTGGGTCACTAGTCGAATCGAGGAAGACATTCGTCGAGTCGAGGAAGACACTCGTCGAGTCGAGGAAGAGACTCGTCGAATCGAGGTCACCCGCAGGGTCGCAAACACAACAAACAAATCGCGCTTCTCGCGCGTCGCGGTCTGGGCTGCAGGGCGGCCCTTTCCAGGGGCGGCGGCGCGACGATGCGCGAAGACAGCCCGCGGGACGCGGATCGTGGGGCGCGATGCGTGACCTTAGCTGTAGGCACAGGGCCGCCCCGCGCACCCGTCCCCACTCTTCTTCTTTCTACTCCTCCTCCGCCCCCCCTCTTCCTCCTCCTCCTCCTCCTCCACCTCCTCCTCCTCCTCCTCCTCCTCCTCCTCCTCCTCCTCCTCCTCCCCCTCCTCCTCACCTCGAATCGAGAGGGAGGGGGTGGCTTACCGGTCCCCCTCCGCGCCCCTCCGCAGCGGCCCCGCCGGGCGCGGCGGTCACTGGGCAGGAGATCGCCGCCTACTGGGAGACGTGCACTCCCGTCAAGGCCAAGAAGGCGCCGAGCGCGCCAGAACCGGCGTTGGTCGTCCCTTCTGGGCGGACGGCAACGGGGGTACAATTCACGCATATGGGGTAGCGAGGATTGCAGGGGAGTGGCCTTAAAGGGCCCGTAAGTTGCCACCGCGGGCCGACAGGTGCACGAACAGTGCACGTTTCTTCGCCTCACGTTTATTGCACCCCCCGTGGACGAACACCTGATCCTTGCTTCCTATCTTCTCGTCCGACTCTCTCGAGCCCCTCGGCGATCTCGGATCTAGGATTTCGGTCTCGTGCCATTTCTTTTTCAGGGGGGTATCTTTGGGGGGGTGGGCGCTCCTGAAGGCTCCCGTCCCCGCGGCTGTGTTCTCACCGAGCTTCTGGCTGGGGCCCCCCCTTCTTGTTCAGGTCCAGGGACCCATTCTGTGGCCCTGTGGGGGAGGAGGACGAATCGGAGGCCGAGATTGTCCTCCTCCCTCCTTCTCCTTCTTTCCGTCGTTCTCCTCCTCCTCCTCCTTCTCCTCCTCCTCCTCCTCCTCCCCCTCCTCCTCCTCCTCCTCCTCCTCCCTCCTCCTCCCTCCTCCTCCTCCTCCTCCTCCTCCTCCTCCCTCCACCTCCTCCTCCTCCCCTCCTCTCCTGCCTCCTGCTCCTGCTCCTGCTCCTCCTCCTCCTCCTCCTCCTCCTCCTCCTCCTCCCCCTCCTCCCTTCCCCCTCCCCTCCTCCCTCTACTGCTTCTGCTCCTGCTCCTCCTCCTCATCCTCCTCCTCCTCTTCTCCTTCTCCTTCTTCCCTTCTCGGGAGCTTCCAACTGTGATAGATTCTCTCCTCCTCGTGCCGCCTGCATTCGGCGCTCGCAGGCGAAGGCCAAGGCGAAGGACAAGGCCGAGCCGAAGGCGGAGCCGAAAGCTAAGGCCAGGGTGTGGTCTTGTCCTGTTTCCTCCCATCACCTCCCCGCCGTCTTCCGTTTCCTGGAGCAGCACGAGGCGGCGTAGGAATCAGGATGAAGTGGGCTTTGGCGTAGAAGGAACATGATGATTAAGAAGGGCTGAATAGTTGATGTTTGCCTGGGCGTGCTTTCTGTTTTGTATATGTTGTAGATTACAGAAGGTGGTACCCAAACGCAGAGCATTCGTTAATTCAAATGGGACGGGGCGCCACGTGTACAACCATATCAGGGGACAGAGGCTGCTCTATGGATCTACCATGCGTAGACATACACGCATACAAACCTCTCTCTGTATGTATGTGTGTACATAACTATGTAAATACACATGTACGGGTACTGTTGTAAGCACGTAGATGGTTACATGTGTAAACCTTTTCCCCGACGGGTGTTTCCCACTCAGGTGCTCGTATTCGCTTTCGAAGGAGATGGGCCTGCGGACTATGTAGTCGCTGTTGCCCCCCCCCCCGCCGCCTCGGCGCCACCTCGTCGTCTTGGCCTGCAGGCCGCTCTGGCCGCCGCTCTGGCTGCCATGTTCAGGAGGGGAAGTCACACAGACACAATTTCTCGTCGATCCCGAGGAAAATACAGGAACATATGGGAAGTGGGGGGGAGGACGAACACCCAGAAAATACGGGACAGTATGGGGGATCCTGGTATTTGTATTTATTCGTGTGCCCCAGGGCCCCTTCACATGTCGCCGCCTCGTCCGCCCGTCGCCGCTCGTCGCCTGAGCCCGCGGGCCGCTCTGGTCGCCGTGCAGCCGCTCCGTCGCCCGCGGGCCGCTCGGGCCGCCATGCCGCTGGCGCGCTGCCGCCTCGTCGCCGCCCGTTGCCGCCAGCTTTGGCGTTGCGTCGCACTGCGTTGCAGCACTTTGCACCGCACTGTGTGCACGCCTCTGCGTTGCTTCGCATGGCCTCGCACTGCTTGACGTTGCTTGACGTTGCCTGGCTTTGCTCTGCATTGCCTGGCTTTGCTTGACTTTGCATCGCTTTGCTTTCCGCTGCATTGCATTCCATTGCTTTGGGCTGCTTTCTTCGCGTTGCCTTCCCCTGTTTCGAATTGCCTTGCATTGCTCTGCATGCGCCACATAGCTTGCACCACATAGATTGCACCACCTAGATTGCCCCGCAGACGTTGCACCACACATATTCCCTCGTCTAAAAGGGAGATGGGTTCTTACACCCTCCCCCCCCGGACTTATATATCGACTCTCCGGGAGCATATGCAGAACACATATGATTCTGACCCAATGTCCATCCTTCCAGTGAATTTATACTATCCCAGCCAGGCCTGTATCGCCCCCCTCCGGTTCCCTAGCCAAAGATACTATGCGCGCGCACTCGTTTATCAAGAGTCATAAGTTTTCAAAAATGGATCGAAGTGCACACGCACGCGTCGTCGCGCGCGCATGCCGGAATCCGTCAAACGCGTCTGGTCGCGGAAGGATTTCAAAATCAAGTGTCCAAACGCATACAAAACATAGGGTTTCGCAACGCGGATCTTCAACAGAAGCGTGCGCGCTTTTGCGTATTCTCAAAACAACCATGAGTTGTTCAACATTTTCGACCATGCTACCAAGCGGGCTTCTCGCGCTGTCGAAATCGTTCGAACACCCTTGCGCGCGTGCTGGAGTGACACGACCCGTGTCAAACAATACCATGCGAACCACTCTCGCGCGGTTGCCACGCGCGCATTTCGAATTCCTCCCCAAACCTTCATCACCGACGCGAAGACGCCGTCATCGTCGTCGGCACGATCAGCATCGGCGCCGTTACTGGCCGCGCCGTCGTCGCTGTCAACATCGTCACCAGCATTGCTACCATCATCATTGTGTCTACCGTTGTCGACATTGCCATGATACCGCGCCCGCCCAGTTCGCCGACTCGCACTGCAGTGCCGGTTGGGATGTGCCGAATGAACAGTGCCACCGCTGTCGCATCGGTCGCGCCAAACTAGTTTGCCGCTGCGCGCGCGCGAGCATGCGCGGGCTAGCGCGGCCGCAGAGATGCAGCACCAGCCAACACCCAGCACCCATCGCAGTCGCTCCCGCATGGGTCTTGCAAACCAAGTTGCGGGTTGGTGCGTGGGACGATTGTGCGAACAGTGGAGTCGGCAAATTCAAGTTCGGCTAGTGAGTCGCACGACATAGATCGCGCCGCATGCCCAAAGCATTCGCCTTCGCTTGCTCGCGAGCTGGGGGGGGCACGATCCGTGTCAAATAATGCTATGCGGGATGCTCTCGTGCGTCGGCCGCGCGCGCATGTCGACATTTTCCCAAAACTTTCGTCACCGACGCGAGGACGCCGTCATCGCCGGTGGCGCGATCAGCGTTTGCGCCGTCCCTGGCCGCGCCGTCGTCGCTGTCAACATCGCCACCAAATTCGTAGTATTACCATCATCGCGTCTACCCTTGTCGACATTGCCATGATACCGCGCCCGCCCAAGTCGCCGACTCGCACTGAAATGCCCGTTGGGATGTGTCGAGCGGACAGCGCCACCGCGTTCGCGTCGGTCGCGCTAAACCAGCTGGCCGGTGCGCGCGCGAACATGCGCGGGCTAGCGCGGCTGCAGAGATGCACCAGCCAACACCAAACACTCATCGCAGTCGCCGCCGCAAAAAGGTTTTGCAAACCAGGAAACCGGTGGGGTGACAACTCCAACTTTTTCGTATTACGCCACATGAGTTGCCCATGTATTTTGCACCACACTAATTTTTCGACGTTGATTGCGCCATATACTTTGCACCACGTATATGGTACCGCATATATATCACACCTCGTATGGTGCACGACGTATGTTCCACGTGGACTGCCAAGTATATTGTGCCAGTGTGGGGTTCACGCTGGTTATCATTCGTACAACGACAAACACGGAGAAAACGAGAGAGAGAGAGAGAGACAGAGAACGAGACAACACTTATATGGAAATATACAGAGGGGGAGAGAAGGAACGAGAGACAGCGAGAGAGAGAGAGAGGGATAAAGACATAGAGAGCTGGCAACGACATATACACCACACAGTTCTATTTATATATGTATGTATACACACTCGTATATGGATATTCGGAAAAAAAGGGGCGAACACCTGAACGAGGGAGAGATATATATGAATGAACATAGTTAGAGGGAACGGGATGTGTGTATATACATATGTATGTAAACATGTAGGTGCATGTGTATGTATGTATATATATATATATATACACATATACATATGTACATATATGTGGGGTGCACACATACGTCGGAGGTGGGGGAGGGTGAGACCGTCACGAAACGTGAAATTATGCAAGTTGATACATTCCCACCGCCTCGCAACGATGTCTCAGGATCCCATCTGTAATTCGATAGGGATAGTTTCGGGCTCCTGGGAAACCCAAGCGTATCGTGATCCAGTGCGTCCTGGCGTCCTGGGACATCGATTACCGAGGCGATAGGTACACGGCAAGCTCCAGCATATAGCCCTTCCCCCTCCCAAGCGCGATTATCGAGTGACGTCGCCAGACAATCACAGAGTTCTGCTCGGCGGTGAATGACTCCTGGGCCTGCCCTTGTGCTCCCTCCCCTCTCCCTCTACCTCCTCATCCCTCCTCCTTCCTGTTGCCCTGCCTCGTCCTCCTCCTCTTCCTTCTCTTCCACATCCTCCTCCTCCTCGCCCTTCTCTCCCAGCCCTCGTGCGAGGTCAAGGCCAAGGCCAAGGCGAAGGCGAAGGCGGCGGCGGAGCCGCCCGCGCCCGTGAAGCGCACGAGAGTCGGCGAGCCTGCCCGCCCCACCCCGCGCGCGGCGGACCTACTGCCGGGGCCTCTCCCAGGCCGGAGCTCCCTTTCCCTGTGGGGCCACGACGCGTTTGAGAGGTTGAGAGGTGTGCCGAGAGGGGTCCGGCGGGCGCATGCGAGCGCAAGCGCTGGGGCTTGCGGTGGAGCTCCCCATGGGGTCGCGAATCGTGCGAGGGGTACGCCGAAACGGTTGATGGGTGCGGAGGGCAGAGGCAGGGCTCGGACGAGGGAGGAGGAGCGGGAGGAGGAGGAGGAGGAGGAGGAGGAGGAGGAGGAGGAGGAGGAGGAGGAGGAGGAGGAGGAGGAGGAGGAGGTGGGAGGACGCGCGGCGCTGTACCTGCAACACGAGGGCCCAGCACAGGATTTTCCTCCACGCTGGGGCGTCGGACACCCCCGCAGATGGCCCCCTTGGCTGCAGAGGCCCCAGCCAAGTGCCGAGCCCCCGCCCGTCCCTCCAGCAGGCCGAGGAGCAGGGCCTCAGGGCAGGGCTCGCCCCCTGGATGCCCGCGCGCCGCCCGAAGCCGAGCGGGCTGGGAGGAGGAGGAGGAGGAGGAGGAGGAGGAGGAGGAGGAGGAGGAGGAGGAGGAGGAGGAGGAGGAGGAGGAGGAGGAGAAGCGAGCAGGGAGGGAGTTAGAGCCAGAGAGCAAGCAGCAGCCTGCACATGCCTTTTTTACAGGTCCCCATGGAGATTTCGTGGGTCCGCGCTGGGCCACCTTGCAAAGGTGCCCCTTGCGTCGCGCGGCCGGCGCGCGGTGGAGAGGGTGCAGGTTCCATGCTTTCGTCTCTCTTGGGCCTGTGGGATTCTTCTCGTCGCCCGGGCCAGGGTCCGCTTCGAGATTCTGGTTAAGACGCCCCCCCCAGGGCTGGTCTGGGGAGAGTTCTCGGACCCCGGCACAGACGTCCGACGCCACGAACACGTCGTGTTAAGTCGGGCTTGTCCCTCTACAGGAGGGACATTCAAAAATAGTCCAAAAATAGTCTGGGTTCGTTTTTTATATATTTTTTTTCATGTGCGACTATTTAGGGGTATGTTTTCTTATTTTGTATTTGTCGTCCAATATCCCCCTGTAGGAGGACATGCCCGACCTAAACGTCGTGATGGGCAGCTTGTTTGCTGAGCCTTGGGCCTCTGGAGATCTATTTCGGGCTGCAGGGTGAGCAGCGAACGACCCTTGATGCGCACTCGGTCTCCTTCGAGAGGCCCCGGGGCCCTTGCCACGAGCACGTGCTACGTCGAATGTCTCTGGAGAGGGGAGTGAAAGATACGACCGCATCCCGACCCGCACCCAACTGCCTCCGCCCCCTGGCGAATCAGAGCCGATTTGCAAAGCCAGCACCCTGCTTCATTCCCCCCTTCCCTCCTTCCACTCTTTCCCCTTCTCCTGGTGGGGTATGAGCCCCCCCCGCCCCCCCCCAGAACTGCCTACTCAGAGCTCCTCGAGAACGAATGAATGCACCCGACACCTCCACGAGCCCGAAAGTCCTTCTCCCCCTTACCCTCAGATTGGCTGTGTCAGGCGACAAGATCCCGGAGGACGCCTTCCTGGTGACGGGGATCGCGAACCGAACGGAGGCGTTCTGCCCACATTCGTCGTTTGCACAATTGCGGTCCATGGAAGAGGACGATGCGGACAAGGGGTGATGATGGTAATGATGGTGGTGATGGTGACGGTGAAAGTTGTGGTGATGGGGGGGGGAGTAGGACGAGTAGGATGAGGAGAAGGGTATGGAGGGGGAGGAGGACTCCGACTTCCCCCCTGATCTCTGGCATTGCCTCACTCCACCACCCAGTTTAACTTGCAACCATCCGCAAACCAGCCCGAGCTTCACTACTATATCCAGTCCTGGCCTTACAGCCCGCTGCCATGCTAGCAACGCTCAATTATCTTTCGTGCTCGCCACACTCTTTGATGGGGGTTACATGGTACATGTGGGCGTGTGGGGGAGGTTGAGCACGATTTTCTGCACTCTACCGCCAGCCGCACTACCTGCTTCAACACAGTATGATTGCCTCTTCGTTCCATTGCTTGTCTCTCTGCTTTTCTTGAATCGTCTACCTGCCTTCCTGGTTCCAGGAATCCACTGTGGCAGGCTTAGCCATTACTCAGCTCAGGCCACATCCCCTCAGTCCTTACCTCTTCTTTCCTCCTGTGTGGTGCTCCCCCGTTGTATCCTCCGTCGTTGTATTGCCTCCTCTTCTCTCCTCTGGCGAAGGCCCGGCGGACGGGGAAAGCGCAGCCCGCGGCGTCGTGGGTCAGGTGGGGGAGCTGGAGGAGAGCGGAGGAGGCATGATAGGGGGGAGGAATTGATGATGCTGCTGATGATGCTTTTGATGATGCTGCTGATGATGATGCTGCTAATGATGATGAACTGATCATGTCGATGATGATGCTGATGATGATGCTGATGCTGATTATAATGATCATGGTGATGATGATGATGATGATGCTGATGCTGCTGATGATGACCATGATGCTGATGATGCTGATGCTGACGATGAGGATGATGATGATGAGGATGATGATCATGATGATGCTGATGAGGATGATGAAGATGATTATGATGATGCTGGTGCTGGTGCTGATGATGATGCTGCTGATGCTAGTGATGCTGCTGATGCTAGTGATGATGCTGATGCTAGTGATGATGATGATGAGGGTGATGATCATGATGATCATGATGACGCTGGTTCTGCTGACGATCGTGATTATGTTGATGACTCATAAAGTTAGCCACCGTGGCACCCAGCCATTGTGTTCCTGACAATATATGTTGTGCAATCTTTGTGGAGCAATATTTGTGGTGACACCCATGTATTACAATGTATGCCGTGCAACCCATGTGATGGCACCTATGTGGTGCGATATGTTGTGCCGCCAATGCCATGCAACCTATGTAGTGTGATCCATGTTGTGCCGTACATGTGGTGCAATATCTAACACGCCTACGGCAACTCACCGTCGTCCCCTGCCTTCTGGAATCGCCCGTGTGGCCGAGCGTTGTGACAAGAACTCTGCCAAGCTATCGGACCATGTGTTCCCTCAGCCGTTGAACACTTGGGGAGGATAGCGGGAAATATCAAGAGGAGGAGGAGAAGGAGGAGCAGGATGAGGATGAGGAGGAGGAGGAGGAGGAGGAGGAGGAGGAGGAGGAGGAGGAGGAGGAGGAGGAGGAGGAGGAGAAGGGGGCATTTTGGGAGCCTCTGGAGGCACTTTTTGGGCCTCCTGGGAGCTTCCTGGGAGCCTCTTGGAGGCATCTTGGGGGCCTCCTTGGGCCTCTTGCGGGCCTTCGGGGGCTTCTCGGGGGCCTCTTTGCCTGTCTTAAGGCATTGCTGGCCCACCTGATGCCGTCGGAAGCCGTCTTGGGGGCCTTTCTGGGCCGACTGGGTGCCCTCTTGGGGTGCTCCAGAGCTGTCTTGGAGGTCATCTTGGGCGTCATGGAGGCCTCTTGGGCCGTCTTGGGGCCCTCTTCTTCGAGGCCTCGTGGGCCGTTCTGGTGCCATCTTGGAGGCCTCTTGGAGGCCTCTTGGGCGATCTTGGGGCCATCTTTGGGGGCTCTTGGGCTGTCTCGGACCGTCGGAAGGCCGAACAGAACTCTTCCGTCATCTGGAGGCGATTTTGGGCTGTTTTGGAGGCTTCTTGGGCAAGCTTGGAGGCATCTTGGACACTCTGGGGCCGTCTTGGAGGCCATCTTGGATCATCTTGGGCGAACTTGCGGTTCATCCTGGCCGTCTTGGAGGCCATCTTGGGCCATCTTGGAGCCATTTGAAGCCGGAAAAGCATTTGCAACCACCTTTGGAAGAGCCTTCCGGGTGGCCGGCGCGCTTGGCCGAAGCCCAAGGGGGAGTTCTTCAAGCCGTATAGGATTCAGCAGGCCAGGCACCCCTGTCATAAATCAACGGGGGGCGGCGGCTGACGGAAAGCGCGCGTAGCGTCGCGATCCGGCAGTCGGGAGAAATAGCGAGGGGGCGGGGTGGGGGAGGGGGTAGGCAGCCAGACCTCCAGATGACGGGAAGCGCGCGTCGCGTTGCGATCCATTAGTCGGGAGAAATATCGAGGGGGGGGTAGGCAGCCGCACGCCCAGATGACGGGAAGCGCGCGTAGCGTCGCGATCGGGCAGTCGGGAGAAATAACCATGGGGTGTGAGAGGTAGGCAGACGTAGGCCCAGATGACGGACAGCGCGCGTAGCGTCGCGATCCGGCAGTCGGGAGAAATCACAGGGGGGGGTGGATAGGCAGTCGTAGGTTCAGATGACAGAAAGCGCGCGTAGCGTCGCCATCTGTTAGCAAGTGACGGAAAGAGCGAGGTACGAGTGATGTACGTTGCCTTGGGGCGAAGCCCTCTAGGGAGTGGTCCAGGGGAGGGGCGAGGCCCGGGTGATAGCCGGGTAATGGCCGCCAGGGGGCCGTTTCCCTAATATTTTTTCGAGTGAAGTGGCTCCTGGGTGGCTCCCATGGCCCGGTTTATTTTTTCGAGTGACGCGGCTGAAGGGCTCCAAGACGGCCCGAGAGGGCACCAACACGGACCCAGAGGGCCCCTAGACGGCCCCAAGAGAGCCTCAGATGGTCTCCAGACGGTCCAAGAGAGCCTCAAGACGGCTCCAGAGACCTTCAGAGGGTTCCCGAGCGGGCCCCCGCACACAACACTATTTTAATGGTTTTTGCAGGTTTTTGGGGAAAGGCCAAGAACGGTGCAAAACGGCCCAAAAGAGCCCCAAGATGGTCCGAAGAGGCTCCTAAGAGGGCCCCAAGAGGCCCACAAGAGAGCCCCAAGACGGCCACAGGCTTCCAAGACGCCCCTAGACGGCCCAAAAGGGCCTCAAGGCGGCCCAGAGTTGCCCCACAAGGGCTCCCGCAGGTTTCCAAAAGGGCCCCACGAAGATCCCGACGAGGCCCAAGAGACGCTCGAGAGCACCATGGCTCCCATCAGCGAGCGTTGACGTAACAAGCTCTTGACACCAAGGCTCCCCAGAGCGCGGTGACGTAAAGAGCTCGTCACACCAATGCTCCCAAGAGCGAGCGGCAACGTAAAAGTCTTTGAGCACCAAGGCTCCCAACGGCGAGCGGCGACGTAACAAGCTCTTCACACTAAGGCTCCCAAGAGCGAAGGGTACCATGAGCCATCTCGGGCAAGTTCCTGATGCGCTCTTTCCGTTTCCGTACCGGCCCAGGTAACGGAAAGAGCGAGGTACGAGTGAATGACGTTGTAGTATGGGGCGAAGCCCTTAAGAGGGGAGTGCAGAGGGGGGAGAGGTCTATGGGGAACGGTTTAATGGCTGTTATCGGGTTTTCCCTAGGGTTTTTGCATGTGTTTCGGGTTCTCCCCTTTTCCGTCCCAGAAGGGCCTCAGACGGCCCAAGAGGCCCCAAATATCGTCCCAAGACGGCCCCAGAGGCGCCCCAAAGGGGCCAACAATTATCCAAGCGGACCCCCAGACGGCCCCAGAGGGACCCAAGAGGGCCCCGAGAGGGCCCCAAGAGGGCCCCAAGAGGGCCCCAAGAGGCTCCCAAGCGGGCCCCAGGAGGAGGGGTAGGAGGAGGAGGAGGAGGAGGAGGAGGAGGAGGAGGAGGAGGAGGAGGAGGAGGAGGAGGAGGAGGAGGAGGAAGAGGAGGAGGAGGAGGAGGAGGAGGAGGAGGCGGCGGCGGCGGCGGCGGCGGCGGCGCGGCGGAGGAGGAGGAGGAGGAGGAGGAGGAGGCGGAGGTGGAGGCGGAGGCGAGGCGGAGGCGGAGGCGGAGGCGGAGGCGGAGGAGGAGGAGGAGGAGGAGGAGGAGGAGGAGGAGGAGGAGGAGGAGGAGGGAGGAGGAGGAGGAGGAGGGAGGAGGAGGAGGAGGGAGGAGGGAGGAGGGAGGAGGAGGAGGAGGAGAGGAGAGGAGGGAGGAGGGAGGAGGGAGGAGGGAGGGAGGAGGAGGGAGGAGGGAGGAGGGAGGAGGGAGGAGGGAGGAGGGAGGAGGGAGGAGGGAGGAGGAGGAGGAGGAGGAGGAGGAGGAGGAGGAGGAGGAGGAGGAGGAGGAGGAGAACAAGGCGGTAAAGGAAAAGGACGAGGACGAGGGTGGAGGAGGAAGCGGAGGAGGAGGAGGAAGAGGAGGAGGAGGAACACCACGTCTTCCAAGAGCGAGCGGTGACGTCACAAACGCTTCCCACCAAGGCTCCCAAGAGCGAAGGGTGCCATGAGCCCTCCAGGTTGCTGCAGCGCTCTTTCCGTTCCCGTGCTGGCCCCAGGTAACGTAAAGAGCGAGATACGAGTGATGACGTTTTGGTGTTGGCGAAGCCCTTAAGGGGGGGGGTGTCCAGGGGGGGGGGGTAGCGCGAGCGAATGAGTGTTAATGGCCGTCTCGGGTTTTCCCTATAATTTTCAATGTTTTTCGGGTTCCCCCCCAAGGCGGCCCAAGAGTGCTCCAAGCGAGCCCAAGACCTCCCAAGACCGCCCAAGAGGCCCCCAAGAGGCGCCCAAGGGGCGTCTCAAGGGGCGTCCCAAAAGGGCCCCAAGAGGTCAACAAGTTCGGTTTCCCATAGGAAAACGTACATTTTTAGCATATGCGGCTTTTCGGCTTTCACGGCGCGGACGACGGCCCAAGAGGCCCCCAAGACCGCCCCAAGACGGCCCAAGAGGCTCCTTAGCGGCCCCCCAAACGGCCCAAGAGGGCCCCAAGACGGCCCCAGAGGCGCCCAAGACGGCCCAAGAGGGCCCCAAGACGGCCCCAAGAGGGGACCACGAACCGAAAAGTCTAGCCTTTCGCCCCAAGACGCTGCCAGGAGGCCCCCACAGCCCCCCAAGAAGCCCCAAGAGGCCCCCAAGAGGCGTCCCACGAGGCCAACAGGAGGCCAAAATCAGCGATATTCTGTCGGAAAACGTACCTTTTTAGCATACACGGCTTTTCGGCTTTCACTGCGTTGAAGACGCTCCAAGAGAGCCCAAGACCGCCCCAAGACGGCCCAAGAGGCGTCCCAAGAGGCCCCCAAGACGCCCCAAGAGGCGCCCAAGGGGCGTCCCAAGAGGGCCCGAAGAGGCCAAAATCATCGATTTTCCATGAGGCAACGTATCTTTCTAACATATACGGCTTTTCGCGTTTCACGGCGCAGACGACGGCCCAAGAGGCCCCCCAAACCGGCCCAAGACGGCCCAAGAGGCTCCCAAGAGGCCCCCAAAACGGCCCAAGAGGGCCCCCAGACGGCCCCAGGGGCGCCCAAGACGGCCCCAGAGGGCCCCAAGACGGCCCCAAGAGGGGGACCACGAACCGATAAGTCTAGCCCATCGGCCCAAGACGCTCCCTGGAGGCCCCCACAGCCCCCCAAGAAGCCCCAAGAGGCCCCCAAGAGGCGTCCCACGAGGCCAACAGGAGGCCAAAATCAGCGATTTTCTGTCGGAAAACGTACCTTTTAACATACACGGTTTTTCGGCTTTCACAGCGTTGACGACGGTCCAAGAGGCCCCCAAGACCGGCCCAAGACGGCCCAAGAGGCTCCCAAGAGGCCCCCAAAACGGCCCAAGAGGGCGCCAAGACAGCCCAAGAGGCACCCTAGACGGCCCCAGAGGGCCCCCAAACAGCCCCAAGACAGGGACCACGAACCGAAAAGTCTAGCCTTTCGCCCCAAGACGCTCCCAGGAAGCCCCCACAGACCCCCAAGAAGCCCCAAGAGGCCCCCAAGAGGCCACCAGGAGGGCCCGAAAAGGGCCCCAATAGGACTCCCATGCAGGCCCAGAGACGCCCAGAGCGATCGGTCACGCAAAAAGCTCTTCACACCAAGGCTCCCAAGAGCGAACGGTGACGTAAACAAGCTGATAAGACCAAGGCTCCGAGCAGAGAGCGGTGACGTAGCAAGTTCCTGATACCAAGGCCCAAGTCTCAGGAACGGGCGGCAACGCAACAATCTCTGAACCCCAAGGCTCCCAAGAGCGAGGGGTGACGTAACTAGCTCTCAACGCCAAGGCTCCCTTTACGAACGGTGGTGTGCGTAATTTCGGCTTCTGTTGCTGCAGCGCTCTTTCCGTTTCTGTGCTGGGCCGTGCCTGGGTGGAATGTGGGTATGAAGCCTATCGGATGTTCGTTGGGATCTCGGGGCCTCTCGGAGGCAGTTTGGAGGCCTACTGGGGCCCAAGAGAGGGAACACGAACCGAACATCCGAGCCTTTTGATCCAGGAGGACCTCAAGAGGACCCAAGAGGCCCCCAAGAGGCCTCCAAGAGGCCGCCCCAAGGCCCCCAAACTGAACACAGGAGGCCCGCAAACTATCCCCAAGAGGTCCCCGAGAGTGCTTCGCGAAGAGACCCCAAGACGCATTCCTGAGGACTCTGACCACAATCCAGGCACGGCGGCGGGATGGGCTGGAGGCCATCAAGGATTGCTCCACGTTTAGTGCCCCTCAGATCCGCCGCCGTGCCTCCGGGCACGGAGTGGACGTGTCCTCAGGTCCTTTGCCGAAGCCCTGGAGCCCTCGGTCCTCGGTGACGAGGGGTCTTCAAAGAGGGGCCCGGACCCCGAATTCCGAAATCTGGCGGGGTTCCTGGCGCGCCCCCGGGGCTCCGGGAAATGGGCCTCCTGAGGGCCTCGTGGGGCCGAGGGCTCGATGTGTCCGCTCGGGTCCCCCATCGCCCCCTCTTGGGGTTGACTTGGAGGTGTTCAGCGCGCGTTGGCGCGTGGACGAACCGGGGAGTGCCCAGAGTTGGGCGCGCGTTCGCACGTGGACGGAGTGTCACACGCGCACGCCTTGAGACGCCTCGAGGCGACCCTGGGAAGGGAATGAGGCGTCTTGGGCCGTCTTGGAGGGTTCTTGGGTCGTCTTCGGGCCCCCTGGTGCCGTTTTGGGGTCCTTCTGGAGGCCTGTTCGGCCGTCTTGGGGCGATCTTGGGGGCCTCTTAAGCCGTTTGGGAGCGTCGGGAAGCCGAAAAGGCGGGAAAGTCAACATGCGTCAATCACCGATGGAACATCAAGAATTATGTGCCTTTAGGGACCCTCTTGGGAGGCCTCTTGGAGGCCTCTCGGGCGCCTGTTGCCATGAGTGCTTGGCATTGGCTGGTGCATCTCAGCGGCCGCGCTAGCCCGCGCATGCTCGCGCGCACAGCGGCCAGCTAGTTGGGCGCGGCCGACGGGGCCGCGGTGGCGATGACTGCTGGGCACTTCCCAGCGGGCACTTCCGTGCGAGTCGGCGATTTGGGCGGGTGCGGTATCATGGAGACGGCGACATTTGTAGACACGATTCTGAGAGTAGCGATGATGATGGCGATGGTGGCGATGACGACGGCAAGGCCAATGACGGCGCCGATGTTGATCACGTCCGCCGATAACGATGACGGTGCCCTCGCGTCAGCGATGAAGGTTTTGGAAGGAGTTCGACGTTCGCTCGCGGCCGACGCGCGCGAGTGGCCCGCGTGCCGTTATTTGACACGGATCGTGTTCGAATGAGTTCGGCATGCGGCCCGAGAGACCCGATTGGCAGAATTTGATGGTGACGTTGAAAAGCGATGGTTTTCTTAACAATATACAAAACCGCGAGCACACATTTTTTGTCAACGGACGCTGCACAACCATATGTTTTCAATCTTTGCTGGACATTCGTTTTTGCAACTCTTGCGAATCCGCGGCATGTGCGCGCGACGGCGCGCGCGGGCGCGTGCACGGCGTCCTTCTTTAGCATGGGATTCTTGCGACAGCACGCGCGCAAGGCGTTCGAGCTATTCCGACATGCGCGCGGGAGGGGCCCGCCTGGTAGCATGTCATCGAAATGTCGGCACACCCATGGTTGTTCTCACGGATTCGGAAGAGCGCGGGCGCATGTTGTTTTGAAAACCGCTGTTGCGAAACAATGGTTTGTTATTTGTTTTTGTCGTTGTCAGTTTATATATATACATATATAAAACCTTATAGCACATGTTTGGCTTCTTGGAAGATTTCGGCCTGCTCGCGCGACGACGCGCGCGTGTGCACTTCGGTCCTTCGCTGCAAGGTTTTTTCGTGTATTATTATTATTATTATTATTTTCCTCCGAAATTGGGAAGTTTGCTGATTGTTGATCAACGGGTGCGGCAAATAGCATTTCTTGCAAAGGGTGAGGGGGGGGAGGGGGCGAACTCCGGCCCGGCTGGGGTGGTTTGAGGTCGTGAGGGACATTCATCTGGACGCCCGACATGGGCACTGAAAGAATGGGTACAGTGCCCAACAGCAGTTCCTGTTCATTTTGAACAGGGCTCGCTGTCCGCGCCGCCGCGGCCTGTGTCCATTCGAGACAGAAGGTCGCCTGTCCAACAGCGGCCGCTGTTGGTTTGGGACAACATTTGTTGTTGGGCATTGTACCCTTTCTTTCGGTACCCATTTCGGGTGTCCAAAATTCACAAGGAGGCATAACCATAGGGGAATTTTGGCGAGGCGGCGACGGCGACGACGGGGCGGCGACGGCGAGCATGGAGCCGTCAGGCAGCCACCCAGGCCCAGTTCCTCGGAATAGATGTTAGAACCCCTATGTGTAAATACTGCTCGGGGAATTCATCATGGTACGAGTACAATGATGATCATGGTGATAATGATGATGGTGATGGTGGTGGTGGTGGTGGTGATCTTTGTTTTGGTGATGCCTGTGATGGTGATGCCGCTGTTGCTTAATGGTGTTGCTGTTGATGAGAACGACGATGCTGATGATGATGACGGTCATGCTGCTGATGCTGATGATGATAATGGTGATGCTGATGATTATTATATAGACGAGGATGAACAGGAGGAGGAAAAGGAGGAGAACAAAGGATGAGGAAGAGGGGGAGGGAGATATGGGAAACAAGCTGCGCATCTGCGCGTTTGTTGCTCCCCCCGCATCATGAGACCTGTGCACCTGACCCGCGACGGCAACGCGGGAACCACATCGACGTGCGACTGGGAGTCAAACGTACGTTTTGCGTGAATTTGCGAATCCTGCGGCGCAGTCGGCGCCGATTGCTCAATGCAGTGAGAAGCAGTTTCTTGC